GCCTTGTGCCTCTGATCCAATCACAGCTGTGCTGATATTCAGTGCAACAGCACCACCTCGAGTGTGATATTGCTTTCATACAACAGATCTATAAGTTGCATATAGTAAGAAGCAATATGCAACAGTAGATTATAATTGAATTAGTCATTTGACTATTGCCAAACAACTAAAAGATATTTGCCCATATTGCTTCTTGGTGCAAGACTACATGTTTCAGCAGACCAGCTGCATTGCAATATGAACATTAATCTGTATGAAATAAGAGTCTGTTGCTTTGGTGACGTGTGATTCTGAGGTGCCTGCTGGATCAATTTAGACAAAGACTGTAAACTGTTACCTTCATTGTGTAGCTGTAATAATAGCATGGCTGCACTTTCTACTCATCATCACTGTTAACTGTCATTTGCATCCTTTTCCCAGGTTCAATGAAGATGTCGAGCTCTGACAGCTACTTCTATGCAGCCATTGTTGCTGTGCTCGCTGTCCACGTGGTTTTGGCCTTGTTTGTTTATGTTGCCTGGAATGAAGGCACGCCTAAAGAGAAGGGCAAGCACGAGTAAGGCTCTTCCTCATCAGCTCGTCAAACCGGAAGAGACGAACAGACATGGGCATAGTTCCACGGCCCCTCACCCACTCTCCACCATGGGCTCTGGCAGCAAAAGCAGCCCCATCCACCAACCAGACGGCTAGGAGACCTGGTTTGTGCTTAAGCTTTAACCTGAGGTTAAAGCAAGAACGCACTTTGTTATTCCCTGGCATCAGGAAGTGTAGTGGATGATGTTTTTGTGTTTTTAACCAGCCTCTACAGGCCCACTTTTTTGTCTTTTATCCTCTGAAATGTACCTTTATAAACAGAGGATGGACTGTATTTGGAAGGGCTTTGTTAAAGGTTCCTTTTGGCTCAGTGCTTTAAGTCCTTTTATTGTAAGATTTGTCATTCTAAACAAAAACCGTCCTCTGAGGTTTTGGATTATGCGTGGGTGTTAGCACACCGTCTGTCCTGTGATGTGTAATAATGAAGGACTTGATGACTAAATTCTCCACAACCTATCTGAAGCTTTGTTTATTCTGTCCTCAAATTTCACTTCCCAAATAAACCTGTAATGCGCTAAACCTTCTTGCTCCATTTAGGATGAAAATGAAAGGTTTCGATTCATCTGTTTTTTCCTTGTAAACATATGTTTTTTTTTTTGTTTCTGTTCTTATGTACTTGTGTGCTTGAATTAGGAACTAATTGCAAGATGTTGTATTTAAAGCAATGTTTCTGATAGGAGAACTTTTGGGATTTATGGATGTAGATGTTTGTCAAGTTGGTGTAATGCAAAGGAGAATAAAGCTGAAAAAGTTGAATTCCTCAGTTTTTTAAAACACTTTTTCATAAAGCATTGTGCTATTTATGCAATGTCACAAATACAGATAGGAGATGTATGTTTAAATGTTATCCACGTGTGAAACAGTACATGAAAACCTTTGCATAATGTCCAAGTTTGTTCATTCAAAGAATAGTTTCTAATGATGCAATTATACACAAACAGATGCAAAAAATATTCAATCATTTTAAAAAGTCTTAACAAAAGTACAACAAGCAGTCAGTTGCTTAAGCCTGGTAGTAACTAATGTATCGGCTTAATCATATAAACACTGAGTTAAATCATGCACCAAGTCATGACTTCTTGTTTGCATCAGCTGTGTAAGCCACACCAAACCAAAACACGTGCACTGAGATGCATATGTGAGAAAGTCTATGTGTGACTCTGTGTCATGTAGAGATCTGTAATGTGTTTATCCTTGAAGCCAACTCAACTGTCTCAATACAAACAAGTCTGATGTGCAATAATAAAGTGTCGTCATGCAAAACGATGAAAATTGATTACCTCATTTGTTAAGCTCAAAAGCAGAATGTGCAATGTTTTATAATGTTGGCGCTCCTAAATTGATTACCAAGGCCTGATAAAGATTATAGTGAAACAATGTATATCAATCATGTTGCCATGACAAACCAAGTTTTATCCGAAACTGAGATGAAAGTTCACGAGACTCTTCATTGACGTGTGCAGAGTATTCGAGCTGTCACATGGTGGCAGCAGACAGTCATCCTGTTCCCACACAATATGGAAGCCGAGACAAGAAGTGACAGATGTCGAGCCATAATGACATTTTCTGCCTCAGAAACCGTGTCAGCATCTGATTCCTGTTCACTTCTCTGTGATGTGTGTGAGTGCCTGCACTCCCACACTGTTTGTTCTTTGCTGCAGAGTTTGGTGTCTGAGCGGTGCAGTCTGCGTTCAGTTTCACAAGCGCTGGTGTTGATGATGAGGTGACAGGCCTGCAAGCGATTAGACTGATTCAGTCAACAAACATCAGAAGCTCAGCGTTCTCTTAAGAGTGATAGTTCATCAGCGTGCTCTTGCAGCGATGCAAAGTTGGTGCAAGGGCAGGCTTTGCTTTTGGCTCTTTGTCATTTATGTCACATTAGCAGGTTGGGTGCATAGTGTGAGTGTGATGAAAAACAGACCAGAGAGAGAAGAACAATAACTTGAGTCAGGGATTAAAACATTGTCATAAAACTACTGCATGAATTTCCTCTGTTTGCCCTGCCTGTCTGAAAATACAATCCATATTCAGAATTAATAAGACAGATAAATGGGAGACTTTTTCACATATTCTGATATTAACCCAAAAGATGTAAATTCAAACTGAAACTGCATTTTAGAAGTATTTAAGGTAACTAGGTGGCTCTATCTTCTTTGCCCAGCAGATGGCATGCCGACATACACGACCCTCAGATGAGCTTCATGTCAGTGTTTGAGTGAAAGTGAAGAAAGAGGGCAGTAGAGGACTGTGGGAGATAGTATGAAGCATCGGCACTGTTAAAAAAAAGAAAGGAAAAAAGAGATATAATAATCCCCCAGACCCCCAAAATGATATCCACCATCAACAACAGCCCAGTCAGTGTTTGATGGTGTCAGCCTGAGCATTTCATTCTCCCCAAATCTCTGCTCAGGTGATTTTGATAAGATAATTAAGAAAGGTTCAATGAAACAAAAACACGAGGGATTACATTTTTTTATTTTTTATTTTACCTTTATTTTACCAGGCAAGAATTGCTTGAGATCAAATGACCTCTTTTTCGAGCAAGGCCTGACCAAAATGGCAGCAGTAAGTAAATAATAATTTAAATTAAATAATTTATCCCAATCATTTGAATTATCTTCTCTTTTTTTTTTTTTTTTTTTTTTTTACAAATTACAAATACAAACCTGTACTCATCATTTTCACATTCAAAAAACATTTATATTGGTTAAGCAATATATTATAGAAACCTAAAACAGTTTTGGTCTCAGTTTTCTGCATTATGACTATCAGCACTGTTTAAGCACTTCTCCAATTACACATTGTTCCAAACAGGTTATTATTTTATTTGGGAATTAAAAAAAACAAAACAAGCAACTGTAGTGAGTTATATCTAATTTAGAAAAAGGACGATGAGAGTGATCATTGAAGAAATGTCATCTTTGCCAGTTTTTAGAACAAAAAAAAATGAATGGGGAATGAATGTGACTTGAAAAAAGGGGGTGGGTTATTGTGTATATTAAAGGAAGGGCTTGAATATATCAAATCCATCTGTTGGTTCACCTTCTATTGAAAGCTATGTTACAACTATTTTAACACAATTAAAGGTTTGAGTTCTTTGTGCATTTTTAGCCTTTAATGGCAGAAATACTTTTACGCATTCTTTTGGGGGCTTCCAAAAAATCTTTCCATCTCTGATGAGGGTCACAAAATTAAAACGTAAGCCCTCTGTCTGGAAGTAAAATTTGTCTCACACTATATTGAAATCATCATGCATGTACAATAAAGACAGTCAGTTGGGATTAAAGTGACTGTTGTTTTAAATAATCATAGGTAAACTACTGAATCTCATCTTGTGGAAACAAATCACAAACTCACACTGTGTTACTCAGCCACACCACAAACCTTTAGATGAATTCACTGTTAGTCTGATATTTGATATCTGTAAAATAGATAACTTATTGAAAGTTATCAATTATCCGCTCTGAAGCAGCTACAGTTGGAAATGTTGGCTTAACACTTGAAGGGTTTCGTTTCAAAGTGCTCATAACTCATATCTATTCAACTGTCAGCATCTCAAAAACACATATAACCCTTTACTCAAAGATGATCATTCTAACAGTCTCTAACATGATGTATGTCTGAAAATAAGTCTTTGTGTTTTATTCTCTACACCAAGAGTAGATGTGATTCTTTTTTCTTTTTCAGAATAAGAGTCTATTTCTGTCCACTTCCTGATTTATGGAGCCATACATTATAAATAAATAACACTCCTGACTGTTGTTTGGAGATCTGAAACGTTAGTTTTCTGGCAACACAGTACACTAAAGCCGTGTGCCCAGACCTCACTCAATCATATCTCCAGTCCAGGTCACTTTTTTTGCTCCCCAAAAATCATATTCTTCTGTTATTTAATACATTGAAGTACAAAAAGTTCTTCCCTCGGCACATCCAGCACTGACAGAACATAATGAATGTGGCAGTCCAAAGGTATGCGAGAGCTTCCCCGTCATGTCGTTAACTTCAAGGTTTCCACAGCAGAGTCTGTGTGCTGTGATTTCCTGGCAAAGATGAGTGTGTGATGTGCACGTGTGGAGACTTTACACACAACATGTTTATTCCCGCTCAAGCTTGTCAGACTTTAACAGGATAAAATGTTGGTGTACACACTGACTTAAACTGCATCATGTGGATTAGAATTTCAGAGTATGACTATGTGGAAGTTTATTTTGTTCCTTTACAAAATCAATAGTACCTCTATTAACAATTCTGTTCCTCTGTTGATCTTGATTTATTTGTTTCAGGATAATCAAATCAGTTGCAACATGTGCTGCAGTAAAGAAAAGTTCTCCTGATAAAGACTTGAGATCATAAAAGTACTGCTTGGATTGCAAATTTAAGACAGATTTATTTTTGGAGCTGTTTTACAAATATGCTTGTCACCAAGTGCTTTACACGAAACAATTGACACAAACACAGATATAAACAACGATAAACAAAACAATGTGCTTATAATTATGTACTTGCCGGCTGTCGCGATAAAAAAAAAAAAAAAAGGAGAGAGTACAAATGTGAGAACTCCTGAGACGAGTGCAATTTCTGTTTTGAGGCGCGTCCTGGAACGACGTACAGTATTTCCAGCGTCCAATGTGTTGGCAGCTATTGCACAACTTTGCACTTCAAGTCTAAGCAAGTGAACTATGCTAGATGACCTCAAAACAGTTAAAGGAAGTGAAATGTAACTATTCATCCGATCTGATTTCCTCAAATGAGGTCAGCACGAGAGAGTTCCACCCTGGATTCTGTTCCCAAAGTTTATACACAGGCAACATTATACATTTGTGCTTTCATTCACACTGACAGGAAAAAATGCTGGATGTGAAATCTGAGCACACGCAACATTCTGTTCACTTTGTCATGTAATCAGTGATAACAGGCCTGTTTGAAGGAAAAAGCGTAGCAAAATCAGTGTCTTTCTTTTTTTTTTTTAAATCACTTCTGAAAACACTTTAATGAAACAGGCTTTTATGCAAATCAACTTTAGTGTACTGTTGCCTGAATTTTTATGATATTTTGGCCAATTTATTTTTTTACTCTGTGGTTTATGTTGTTCTTCACCTCCTTACATCTTGCCCATCATTTCTTTTTTTCTTTTTGTGTTATGGAAAGCACTTTGTAAACTTAATTTAATTTTTTAAAAGTGCTATAAAAAGTTTGTATTATTATTGAAAGTGACAAGTGAAAAGACCCATACCATACACAAAATAATTTCAAGAAAAAAAATACTTATCGGCTTTGATTTAAATTATGGTGTTGCCAAAAATGGTGCACAATTCACCATCAATGCTACAGTCTAATGTGAAATCATATTTGTTTTTCTAAAGAATAGCCCGTCATGGGACACTTCTCAGTTTCATTAGAAATGTGGTTACTGAACATGATCAGTCTGTACACATCTCTGCAGCTTCTCCGTGCACCCAAAAAAATGCCTCTCCCTTCAGAAGTGGAATGAGTCAAATCAGTGCCATCTTAAAGAGGGGACTCAGTTCAGCATGTGATCAGAAGTCCAAACATCCGATCCCCTCGCAGTGATTTAAGACCCCTCAGAGAAACATAAACCTCCTCATATCTTCAGATCGTCTATTCTAGTCTTGTTGTTGCTGTGTTTGGCGCTGCGACCCGGCCTGGCCTGCGTAGGTGACCCAGGGGCCGATCCTGCTCCCTTCTTTCCTTTCAGGTCGCATTCCTCTGGCTTGCTGCTGCTCCTCTCCACTTCCAAGTTGTCTTTATTCTGCTTGTAGGCCGCCTTGCTGTGGTAGGGGTGGAAGGACGAGTCTGTGCCATCATGCAGAGGGGAGAGGTCGTAGCTGGGGACAGGTGGATAAGCCGGCTGGACTTGGTGGTGGATGTATTCGTCATAACTGGGCGCAAAAGGCACAGAGGTCTCACTGGGCTGCTTCCGGAGACTTTTAGCAGCCTGGTGACGTCTCCTGAAGGTGAAGCCCTGGCGGCACTTTGTAAAGCCCAGGTGGTAGATCTCTATGAGGTTTAATAAAAGAGAAACACTAGCCACTCCCAGCATGAAGATGATGAAGATGGTTTTCTCTGTGGGTCGGGATATGTAGCAGTTTACCACATTTGGGCAGGGCGGTCTGTCGCATGTGTACATGGGCTTAAGCTCAAAGCCGTACAAGAGGTACTGAGCCACAATGAATCCCACTTCAAACAGGGTTTTAAAGATCACATTAAAGACATATGTGCGCAAGAGCTCCCCCTGCAGGCGTACTCGGCCTCTGTCATCCCTTACCAGAGCCTTTTTGTGCTTGGCATCCACAATGAGGGCCTGCTTGTCTGAATTATGTGCAAGTTCCTTCTCCTTCTGTTTGCCTTCATGCTTCTCCTCCATCCGCACCAGGTGAAGAATGTGTCCCAGGTAGATCAGCGTCGGCGTGGACACAAAGATGATCTGCAGCACCCAAAAGCGGACGTGAGAGATGGGGAACGTGATGTCATAGCACACGTTCTCACAACCAGGCTGTTTTGTGTCGCAGGTGAAGCCAGACAGCTCGTCACCCCACACCTTCTCTGTGGCTGCGCTCAGGATCAGGATGCGGAAGATGAAGAGGACGGTGAGCCACACCTTGCCCACCACAGTGGAGTGCTCCTGGGCTTTCTCCAGAAGCTTTCCCAGCAGGTTCCAGTCCCCCATGGCAGTGTGAGCTCAGACCTTGAACTGGAGGAGCAAAAAAAGACATAAACCGCTATAGTCTATTTTTTATTTTAACTCACGTTCAGAGCAGTCTACAAAGCCAATACATGACATGACAACAACAAAACTTAGCCAGTGGTGAAAAAGACGACATCTATTCTAAAACCTCTTACCAAGCTCAGAAAAGTCTCAAGGGAGCCAAGCTGCTAACCAACTGTACAAGTGGGGGAATCTGCTGCTGAGCAGGTAGGCTATTGGCCTTTTTCCACGTGGACGCAGTCAGGATTATATTTACTTTAGGAGGGTATATATTTGGCAAGTGCAGACAGGGGGGGAAGGTTCCAGTCATGATTCTATGGTTCCTGGCCTTCATGGCCCCGGGACGCGAGAACACGATCCACAAGGGGAGAAATCAAACACCAGTCAGATATGTTGGAAGTGCAAAGTTGAAACAGTTGAGTAATGTCAGCACTGTCAGCTCCTGAAGCACATAATGATATAAAAAAAATGTCACGACTGATGGATGTGCTGGACAGTAGCACAGCAGCAGATTCAGAGAATGACTCCTGTTAACTGCTGAAATGCAGCAGGTGCTATGTGAAATAAATCTATCAGGTGTTAAAACAACTGTGGCATGTTATCTTTCAGAAATGTGTGCTTTTAAAATAAGACTTTTAAGCCTGTTATTTTCCATGACAAAAGATAAAAATATGACTAAGAAATAAAAAGTTTTCTCCAGAATACGACAACGTACACGTTTTAAGTCTGTAAACAAACAAAAGCCTTAACCAACAGTTGTACATTATTTAGGTTGTTTGTGAATTTACGTTCTTACGAGATTTCAACCTCAAAGGTCTAAATTCACAACTTATTCCAGAGGAGTCACAGTTACCCACCTTGTCAGCTTATACATCCCCTGGGATTCAGCCCGACTCTTCTTCAAGGGTCCATGAGGCAGCCTGCTCCACTGACAGGCCTCAGCTCCAAGCTGATCTTCGGCCCCCCCTACGGATGATGCCCTTGAATGGACAGGAAAAGTGGACTTCTTCTTTCCACAACCTCCGTTCCACACCAACAAACCCGCCGGCTCTATCGTCTGTTTTTGAAATCCTCAGAATCCAGGCCCCGGGGTCTTCCACTGACCACAACACACAAGTAACCTGCTGGACATATCTCAACCATGTCCGGCCTGCCCTCCCTCAACTCAAACCCCCTCCCCCTCCTGTGGTTAAATTTGGCACAGGTTCACTCCTAATGTAAACTATTAAAGCCCCTCCACTCGCTTCTTACAATGACTGACACGGCAGCTGGCCAATGATGGTGTCTGCTAAGTCTGTCTGGACACAAGTGCTTCTGTGGTCTAAATATAGCCCATGGGTCGCTCCTATCATGGGGGGCATGATTTGGAGATGAGTACCCATTTGCATCCTCAAGTTACAAATCACAGTGACAGGAAGGAAGATAGTCAGTTTTTACATCATGGAACTAGGTGTAAAGTATTAAAATGGAAAAAAAAAATGTTTATGTAATTACTGAGGTTAAAATCCTGTAACAGATTTCTTTATTTGACCCTTTTATTGAGAAACCTTAACAAGTTGTATGTTTGCTAAATAAAGTCACGTAACATTGAACGATCAGGCAGTTTATTTCTTTATATTACACACCGTTCACATATAGTTTCAACCCAAGTTATCTATTCAATGGATTGTTGACCCGGATATAAAGTAATGTATGTACATTTAGGCACAAATGCCAACATGAGGGGGTTTGAATGCATTTCAAAATAAATCACTTCTTAATCAAACAGTTGCATAAACAGAAACCTTTGTAAGATCAATTCCATTTTCAGGAACAAAGGGATACTCAACAATAAACTCTGCAAGGAAATAATAAGGAAGGTGAGGGCACCAGCCATGGATGTGAGTTAGGAAGACGGTAGAATAAATATATTTCCAAAAAACAAATATAAAGATGATCTAAAACAAAAAGCTGCAATAAATGAAGTAGGTAGAATCCAGTATTTACACACCCTAACATATATGTACAGTACTTGGATTCACAACTTTCTTAAAGTGGCCAAGTCATCAAGTGAAGATGGAATAAGATGTAAATATTAGTAGAGTCATTGAAGTCACAGAATTGTGAACTCTGTGCACCACTCATACTACACTGTCCACACAACTCTTAGGCCCGCAGAGTAAAACATTTTTCTATATTTTCAAATGAATACTTATTTGAATAACTTCTGGAAGAATAATTATATCCAATGAAATGTTTTCTTTGGTTTTCTAGCACCAACTGTCAAATCTGAGTAGCAGTATGGTAAGTAGTATAGAAGTCACAGCGGTCTGCATGAAGCAAAGCGACATCAAATCACTAACAGTGTCTAATAAAATGGAAGCATAGTGTTGTTAACGCAAAGCGCTGTTAATGACATTTACTCACATAAATTCTTTTTCTGCATTACCCAGCTGTGACCCGGCCAAGAATCAAATATGGTTTATATTAACAAATACTTGACATAAATAGAAAATTCACTTTGTTACCAGCATTTTGTCTCTACAGTACCATAGCTTCTTTAAATACAAGTTCATACCCGTGTTGTTGCATGTTTTGGCTGATTTACCAGAAAAACTGAATAGATTTGATCACTTTTTTTTTATTCAGTGTTTTTTTTTACCATCCAGGCAGCTACTTTGCTCTTTCAGTTATCACTTATAAGACGAATGTTTGCTTGATAGGGATTAATTGTATTAACCAAAGAATGGAAATACAGCTCATTAGCAACAATAGCCTGTTTCTGATATACCAACTCACCACCTGTAAAGTGGATATTTTAACTGTAGTGTCAAGAAATAATCGCATTATCATTATTTTACAGTATGTTCTTTAGCTAAAGATAGGTTGTGCCTTGACAAAGTTGCTTCTCATACTACGTTCAGATGAAACCACTCACTGGCAAAGTGTTGACAGCAGCAACTCTGTATGTTTTTAGTAAATGTGCCACAGCATCAGCAAAAACACGGGTATGGTCCTTTAACCTTCATAACTGGCTCCAAATAGTTTAGATGAGTTTTGCCAGCAGCTAGTGTCAGAAAACAAAACAGAAAAGATGCATCAATAAGGGATTGACTGGACGATAAATAGAACAGAATCTGCATGTATGCTGATCTTATATACAGTACACGGTGACAAAGCAAACTGTTTCAGGGACGTGTGTGATTACTGTCGGTTAGTTTAAAGGGAACTGGAGAGTCTCAGAAAGCAGAACACCTTTCACCCTTCTCAGTCGGGCTCTTTTTGGTCACAGTGAACTTGGACTTGAGAGAATGGTCTGCTATCAGCTGATTGATTTCATTTTGCCTGTGAGAAGACAATCTTTGACTTATCCAGGCTCCCTTGGACTCATCCTCCGAGCCTCCTAAGCAGCGTTTGCAGGCCCTGCCTATGAGGTACAGCACCTCTGCCACATTTAGCAGCACACACACCCCAGACACTGCCAGCATGAACACAGTGAAAATGGTCTTTTCTGTTGGTCGAGACACAAAACAGTCCACCGTGTTGGGGCACGGGTACGAGTCACACTTCACCAAACGGAACATCTTAAAGTCAGGGTAGATGGAGTAGAAGATGTAGAGGAAAGCCACCTCGAAGATGATTCTGAAGATAATACTGATCATGTAAGTCCACCACAGCGCTCCGATGATCTGAAACTTCTGGTTCTTGATTTGTTCAAGCTCCTTGGGGCTGCTGCGTCCAGCCCTCTTCATGAGCTTCTTGTCGATGTGGCGTCGGTGGGCAACATGCATGGCCACCAGCAGGGCGGGGGTGGAGACCAGGATGAGCTGGAGAGCCCACAGGCGGATGTGCGAAATGGGGAAAAACTGGTCGTAACAGACGCTGTTGCAGCCGGGTTGCTGGGTGTTGCAGGTGAAGCCGGACTTCTCGTCTCCCCAAACACTCTCAGCTGCGACCACCAGGACCAGTATACGGAAGATGAAGATGACGGAAAGCCAAACACGTCCGATGCCCGTAGAGTGCCTGTTTACGCCGCTGATCACGGCATAAAAGGATCCCCAGTTCATTTTGGACTCCAGGTCTGCAAAAAAATTAAGTTTACTTTTTGAGTCTATGTTAAATCACTGAAAGCTAAGCAATATCTCAATGCTTGAGGTCAACTTTTGTGACCATAACATCAATGTATAACAATACAAAGTTGAACTAAATTCATGATAGATAAATAATATTTTCATAAAATGCACTATTTAGCTTTTTGCAATAAACAAATGTCACATTTGTAGGAATTGTTATTTAGGTGAAATTAATTTAAGATGTTGTCGTCATAAAACTATTGATAATTGAGTTAAGGTCTAACTTTTGAAACATCATATTTCAAAGGTTTACCAGGCTCAGCCGGCGGTGCAAGCGGCGTAAGCAGCGCCGGGTCCAAAGATAACCATCTTGAGATGAGGCCCGAGCATCAAGCTGGTTTTGGCAGAGCAAGGAACAGAAAAGAATTGCCTGGAAGTCTGTTGGCCGTATAAAAGCAGGGGTGATGGCCTGCCACCGTGCACCGTCACAAGACACAACCGAACGAAGCCAATTGCGAACGATTTTTGGAGCCACGTGATTGGCTCGCTCTGTATTAATACTGTACTCCCAAACTGACCTACAGCCCAGTTGCAGACTGACAGACTGCCAGCACATTTCTCCAAGGAACCAGCAAGACATCCATCTCATTATGATTTTTTTTTTTTTTTTTTTTAAGCAAGTGAGAGACCTCCATTGTTTGTAGGAATGGCAACGGACTTGACCAGATTTGCCAAATAAAGACTTAAATAAACACATTCTTCAAATATTGATCCATCAAGATATTTCTACAAAAAAAAGGGTAATGAGAAATAAAATATGTCAAGTTGAGCAATGGGGCATCACTCAGCCATCACTCACATAAGATGTGACCTCATTCCTCCCCGAGTGTTAGTATAACACAGAATTAAATGACAGAACATGGATTTTACCTTCAGCTGTGGTGGTACACAAAAATGTGTACAAAGCAGGAAGAAATTATTTAAAATATTGTGTTTTTTTAGCAAACCCAAAGGCTGGATTGTGCGCACACTGTGCGTTTGGAAAATGCTAATCATTCCTCCGCCACTAGCCACTGCCCCTGCACCGTAGCAGTCATATGCTCTTATATAAACTATTTACATACAATGGCGGCCTTTATTGGGCTGCAACAAGACTCTTTAGAATTCAGATCAAACGCCTCGATTTCCGCCTACCCCAGGCAAAAGAAGGAATCTGTGTGGACACAAAAGGCCGTAGCCTGTCGCATTATTTATTGTGCTTGGCAGAGCAGGGAAGTGAAGGAAGCTTTTGACCTGAGGCACTGTCACTGACAACAAGAGAGTCACCAGCAGGTTTGCAGATTCATCTAGCAAACGCATGAGCTGTTTAACTAAGACAAACGCTGATGCAGGAGGAAATAAAAGGCAGGAAGCATTTTATTCACATCAGTCCGGTCATTTTTTCATCAGTCCGGTCTTTTAAAAAAAAACAAAAAAAAACATACAGGTCAAATATATTGTAGTTATTTTGTGCCAAAGGATTTTCTAACTGAAGTTTTCAAATGGGAAATTCTGTATACTTGTTTTGATATCCTCTTCTGAGTAGGATATATTATAGGACTCATGCTAACTGGGAAAAATGACATCACAATCCTAAGAAGTAATTTGAATTAAAGTTGAATTCACATTAAGGTCTCTACCATCAGGTATAAAGCATGGGAGATATAGAATTAACCAAGTACTGCATATGATCAAAATAATAATAGATGCAAGGTTCATCCTTATGCTCTTGGATTGTTATCAATCTTTTTAGCTCGGCTTTATTAGCTGGGATTTCAGTTTGTACTCCCCCCCTGAAACAATCATTTACAGTAACAACAGACTGCAAGTGAAAACACAAAGTGGTCGTTTGTCATGTACTATCAGATGACCCACAGCAGGGCACTGTGGCATAAGTATGTCTGCGTCACTTATGACAAACATAGTGGGAGGGTTTGCGTGGCCGGCTAATTCTTTGAATGAACTAAACCCTCATTTACATTTTCTCTATAAAAACTGAACTACTCCACAGCACAGAGACAGAGGGGCGTGCAACTGAAGGCAACGTTTGTTTTATTTATTAAGAAAGCAGCTGATGATACAATGTTCATTCAAAATAATAGATGCCATTTTACAAGAACTAAATATCAACCAAGACAACATGGCTCTAATAATGAATACTACAGGAAGTGAAGCAAAGAAATGAATCAACGTAAGCCAACTGTATGTACAATACAAAACAGGTGTGACTTAATAAAGGGTGGGTACATTTAGTGAACGGGCACTCTCCAGTGGCTTAAAAAAATAAGACTAGCTTTTAAAGGAAATGCTAATTATTAAGTACAAAGGGAAATGCTCTAAATTAAATACGCATCACAATTAAACTCTTAGGTCCCTGTAGATCATTTGTTACATAAAAAAGCTTGTTCAAAATATTAACACTTTTCTGTTATTACTTCAGAAACACAAGTAACAATTTAAGACTAAATAAAGATTCAAATGAAAAAAGAAACAACTTCAGTTCCTAGATGAAATAAAACACAAGCTTTATAGTCAGTAGACACAGAACTACAAAATTAAGACATAAAACTACACAAGAAAGCTGATACACACTAGTTTATGTGTAAATGTCAACACCTTTAGTCTTCATTCAAGACTTTTTAATACCTTTAAATGTTCGCTGTACTGCACTGTGACGACCACAGCAGCAAGTCAAAAGTTCCACTGTATGTTACAGATGGTCAATCAAACCTGGATTTGTTTATTTATCTCTATTTTAAGAACAATTAAACATCTTTGTGTTTAGATTTTTCTAACCTAACAAGGCTACAATGTTTATGAGTAATCAGAGACCATCAAGCATGCTTAGTGAACAACAAAAACAAAAAACCCTGCCTTTCTTAATTCTTGTTTTGAGTGTAGCATGAGATGAGGTATTTCTCCCACTCAGAGTCCTGTTTCTTCATTTTCATTTGAGCTGCGCCTTCAAAGACAAACACAAGAAGGGGAGAGAAAATGAGTCAGCTGACATGGTGGGGAGATTCTGAATGACAACGAGTGCTGATCTGGTCAGACAGAGGCTACACTGCCATCTGCTGTAGATGCACAATTTAGACAAAACAATGACCAAACTTACTTTTTCTCAATGAGGCAACGTTTTTCATTTTTGTATGTTTTGCATGTCCGTTCTGGGCCAGCCGCAGAGACAATGATGCTCCCCTCCTGAAACGATATTGTACCATTTTGCAGTTATTTGCCATGAAATCATAGAATATACATTGTACATAAACATTACAGAAGAGCCACACATACACATACAGTATTCAGACACCATACTACATCCACATATATCAAAATACATCATATGTACAAAGACAGCATTGAAAAACTACAAAAAAAAACATTAAATAGGGCAATAAATCTTCAAGACTTTTATCTGCGTCTTAACCATTTGCAATTCCAATACATCTAAATTTACAGTTCAAAAATAATTGACCCCGTTTCACACGTAAGTACCTCATAGCCCCAAGCTTTCCTTTTTCCAGGAACAGCTCGACTGTGACTTTGGGCCCCTGTGGGTAGAGCCTGGCATAAAGCGTCCTGTTGTGAACCATTGCTTGGAACCAGCCCACCGCTTCCTCCGACCAATCACTCCCATTCAAAGGCGTCACCTTAGGGGGGGAAGGAAACGCACAAAAAAATACCATGAACTGAGATAATTCATTTCCTTTATCACCCAGCTACAGATAAGGCTGTGACTAATCATGTGGACAAACTCCAATTCTGTAAGTGAGTCTACACTCTCACAACAGAGAACAGTACATTAACCACTTCCATGTATGCAAATCCCGAGAGGGATTAAACTATCAATTTGAACGTGTCCATTGGTGGCATCTTTATGTGACGGTCTTAATACAGAACTGATCCCATACAGTTTAATGATGCAACACCTGATCCAGAAGACAATTACAAAAAAAAGATATTGGATAAGTGCACAGGCTGGTGTATTTGAAATCACCCCCATGTTTTTAGACAGCATCAGAGGAATTTCTGAAACTAGTATCAATATGATACAAGTACAACTTTAGATAAATGTAAACAATTATAAAGCCAACATAATAGATAGGTAGCCACTCACATTTGAAAGTGAGACCTGTCCAGCCTGAAGTGGTAGCGCAGTCATATCTGGGGTCAGCTCCTTGATGTTCAACAGTGACAGGCAAGCAGTGTCACCATAGTCCAGCCGCCTCACCTCCACCTTGATGGATGTCCCACTCCCAGCACCATCAGTGGCATTATTATCTGACATAAGACAACAGCAGGTTGAGCTAAAAAAAAAAAACACCCTGTAAGGAATTCCAAAGTGGCCACGGGCAAGAAAAGATACACTGCTACCATCTAGAGGTACGCATTTGCAAAATCATTTAAAAAAAAAAAAAAAAAAAAAACACAAAACACAAAACTGGACCCACCTCCACTCACACCACATATCTTGGTCACCTGAGCCCTGCACCATTGTTCCTGCTTAGGGAACCAGCCCATTACCCGAGTTCCAATGTCTGGAATGAAGTTCTGCTCGGCATATGAACTACTTGCTTTCCAGCTGCTGTGAATGAGAAAAAACTATATAATGACAAGCAGAAATGTGGGGGGGGGGGAAGAAAAGGAAAAACTACAAAGAAAGCAGTAATGAAGAAAAAAAAGGAGAAGTGCTTCTATAGGTTCAGTAGATTTTTTTAACTATAATGAAGGACTTACTCTGTGATAAGGGCCTGCAGCTTTGTGATGCAGTCAGCATGTTGGATGTAGAAGTTGCCTGGGCTGACAATATGAGACACCACAACTTCAGTCTCTTCAAATCTCCGTGTCTGGAATTCAGGCATTGGAGTACCGTTGATGGCTGGCCTTCTTACAGCATTAGGATTTCTCTCACGTTCAGGTTCTGTGCAATTGTCAGTCTGGGTTTTCAAATCAATGTTAACAAAGGAAGCCTCCACCTGGGACATTATACCTCCACAATTTTCATTTTTAAAGGGTTGAATGTCAGAGCCCCCCTGTCCCAGCCCTGTGAAGATGTCGCCGATATCCCACAATTCAGTCTTTGTTGCAATCACACAAGTGTAGGTCAGAGAGCCACTTGACTCCACTCTCTTCACTCTGAAGACTGGTGCATGGTCATCAATGTCTGTGAGCAGCGATTTTGGAGCCAGTGCATTGATCAGCTCATCTGCCACAACCTGTCTGAATTGGTAGCTTTGTGTTTTGATTGTAGGCGACATCGACAGCGGCGAACTTGAAGCGCTCATGCTTTTCCTCCACTCCATGACTGTGACCTCTAGTGCACCCATGTTGTTACCTTTGGCTCTGAGGAAGTGCAGCAGCTGAGAGGATGTTTGTTTTCGGTGTTGCACCTGGACATCTTCCTCACATCCCCAGCTCATTAGCCGTGTTGTTTTCATTGGTTTAGAGTTACTGATCTCTGGGAGAACAGCCTGTATGGGAGGTAGTAGTAGGGGCAGTCTCTCAGCGCTAATCTGGGGACTCTGTATAGCAGCAGGTGCAAGAATCACAGCATCTGGTGACTGTTTCTCCTCAAAAACAACTGCTTTTTCTTTTTCTTCTGCTTTCAAGTTAGATGATGAACTTGCATCCGCAACTGTGCTGTTATCGCTGGACGACACGCTGCATATCATGTCATCCTGCTGGACCGCAGCAGGCTGGGAAATGAGGAAATGTTTGAACTGCTGCAGGGACAGTGTGTCTCCAAGCACCTGGACTGCTTTGGCTATGGAGCTGGCCATGAACGAGTTCTGCAACATGGGCCCAAACTTCAGAACATCTGTCTTTTTGATCCCTCTGTTTTTGAATCGCTTCAGTTGGTCTGTTGTTCCACCACTCTTGCCACAAACTTGTGACTCTGTAAAAATGACAAAAGCAGAACGAGAGAGTTTAGTTTCAGAAAGTTTTACAGCAAACGACACTTTCATTACAACAATAAACATTTATTCATTTATCTAACACATGGTTAGCTGCACTGTGCCATTAACAGCTTCAACTGAATGATTTATTCATAACTTACTGAATGTGAGATCCTTTAATGAAGCCGAGAGCTTGTCAACAGCTCGGCATTTTGAATCCAAAGTCATTGAAAGATCACTGAAAACACTGGTGGGAATAGATGAATTCAGGAAACCTTGAACTTCTTCATAGGCCTGCAAGACAAGTGAAAAATTGGTATTTTTTATTAAAGCAAGATTTTTTTGTTCATCTAAATCACATGTCAAAATTTAAAAGAACTATTAAAACTTCTGTTGTGATCCTAAAAGCCAAACCTGTTTTACATATGGACCAAAAGTTCATTTATATTACATAAATGAATATAAATATAAAATTAAAAACCCCAAAAACCTAGTAACCTAGTAACATGCAGCACTTTCATTTTCATTCAAACTTTACAAGTTAACTTTCCTTGCCATGTTATTTTATGATTGCTCCAGCAGCTAATTTGACCACTTGGCCTTGTGTGCTCCTCTAACTGGGTGACTTGTTTTTGCAGAAATTGCTGGCTTTACATGTAACAATACATTAATGAAAAACAAGCCAGCTCGTTACCTTGTTGGTGAAGTTGTTCAGTTCTTGTTGTAGTGTATTCCGGGCGTTTTCCAGCAAAAACAGCTTGTATGTTAACTGCACTTTTTGTGTGATAACAGATGGCTTGCTGAGGACCACCTGCTGCTGAGGAGTCTCCACAGGAGTCATGGTGGTTTCTGTCTGTCGCTGCAGCCCGGCCTCTCAATGCTGGAGGCTGTTTTTTTTAAAAATGCTGGAGAGTAGTGTTACCTAACGAGCCAGGTAATTCGTAAACTAGCCAACAGAAAACGTAAATGACGTCGTGGTCTGTCACCATAGACTGTCGTCTGGACTCAGGTTGAGTACTGACTCCGTCGCAGCTGGAGCTGAAGCATCTTTAAGCCTCCTGACAAAACGTGTCCTGCTCTTTCTTCAGCCACCGACAGACGCCCAGAGGCCAAGTCACCGCCATGTTGGAAACTACGTTAAGTGTTTGCAGCCTGTTACCTAATTTGAGTAACGATATGGTGGTCGGTGCCCTGTTCTTTCTTCAGCTTACCTCTCAGGGCAGCCAACTACTAATCATATTTTATCAGCAGCCATCAGGCCTACTGCCTTTAGACCAGTAAACCAAATAATAAGGATTTCCGAAGGTGGTCACTCTTCTGACACAGTGGGCGTCGTCAAATAACAGTCATCTCTTTTAATTGGATGTAATTCACACAGTTTAATGTGTAATATACTGTAATTTCACAACGAATAAAACACGATGAATCAAAGAAGCAGCCTTTCTGGCCTTATTCCCATCCTATGGCATTTTAATCTGATGGGACGCACTTTTAGGTACACTGACAAATTATAGACAGCAGCTTTTAAAGACCTCTTTGGTCAAAGTGGGCTCTCAGATGCAGGCCAAGGGACCCAGAAGAGAAAGGAGTCTCAACAAGAAGACCACATAAAAACAAAAATAGCCTAAGGATGCCCTCGATTTTCAAATAGCATATTTCACTTAGCCTACTGGTGTTGAAAAATGTGTTATTTTTATTAGCACCTTTGTTCAGCTTGATAGTCCCTGTTGTTTGCTACAGTCCAGGAAATTATAGATCCACAAATTCCTTGGAAGAAAGCTGATTCTGAGAGTAAATGTTAGCCCCTGGTTTAAAAATAGCCTACATAAAGACTACAATTTGTGTTTTAAATTTAAAAAAAGAAAAAGAGATGCCGATAATATAGAAAATCCTTATTATGTGTGTGTTTTTTTGCTTTTTTTTTCAGGAAAAATAGGCAATGAATGACATTTATGTCAACACATGGCTTGAAGGATTTCTGCATTATGCACCATGATATATTTTCTTTAGTGAATTGCTATTTAAAGAAAATATTTATCGAAAATCTATATTTGCATTTGAACACTTAAGTTTCAAGTCAGCACATTTCTAAAGAGAAAAAACAAACAAGAGCAAAAATATCAAGTAGGCTGCAAATACAAAAGTTCTGATAATAAGGTCTTTACTTTGTTATAGAAGGGGATTATCAAAAATGAAAACAACAGAGCATTTGGTCTTGAGGTGTGTTTCTTTAATACAACAATCAGAGTGATCCATTAAAGAACAGCAGTGTATGACTAAATTGTCCTCAATGAAAGAAATGTCAACAGTTTAATTAGGATATGAGGATATCCTTTACTTAAAAAGTTGAGATATATTAGACATAGAGTATCGGAGTTTGGATGACATTGCATTTAAACTCTGTCTGTAATGTACTAACACACAAACTGCCTCCAACACTTAAATGCCAGCTCCTATTAATCACCAAGAAGAAGAATGAGTACAATTTGCGAGATGCATTCCTATGGTTTTACACCTAATACTATCCACACAATGTTCTTTTCTCTGAGTACTCTTTGCTTGAACTTGTCAAGCTGCTACTTGATCTAAATCTTGTGTGGGTGGGGCAGCAAAGACATTTCCTTCAGTTACATTGCTCAAGAGGCAGATTGATAAAGGAATCCTGGCTCCTTTAAAGCTGGCATCATTGCACTGTGTCTACCCAGTTGACAAAGTGGTTATGGGTATGGGAACTGCAAAATGCCAATTTGCATCTGTTTAAAGGAGAGGGATGTGCCAATAAAAGGACAATAAGCCAACAGAATAGCATCCTGCAACAGCACTTTCACTGTACTATAGGCTAAACCGCCTGTTGAGGTTGTAATCAAATATCTAAAATATAGGTTACTTTTCATTACTACATGTTATAAAGCTTCCAACTGCCCCCCCCCCCCCCCCCCCTTAATGTCTGTTTGTACACGTGTTGTAAGTTTCTTTAAATATGTGCTACATGGAGTCTGCTTTTCTTCAAAGTATGGTTCCAAATTCAGTCTGATTTATTGAGTGTGAATTTACCTCGCACTGAATGATAGTAGCTCTTTCACTCAATGTTTTATGGCTCGGTGGAGTTCAAATTGCTCAGATAAAAACATAAATTCACAGACTTCAAAGTTCTTGCCATCTGAGCCCCATTCTTTAATTTTTCACTCAAAGAAATTGGAGTTTATTTCTAAAATGAAGACTGCCAACATATTCTGGTTATAAGTAACACTGTATTTATTACAACAGCACATTACCCATTGTATTTGATGACATTTTCTCAGGGTGAGGCACATAAATTATGATTTGAAAAGCACAGACAAATTCAGGTTTTAATATTTATTAAAAATGAAACAATAATCATTTATTTCATATAAATAACCCTCTCTGTCCCTCCCCACTCTCCAATCACTGCTGCCCCCTTTCCATCATTGAGGCTGATGTCACCAGTCATTCAAGCATATTAACCCACGCAAGGCAATCAGCCCTGCTGGCATTCCTGGCTGGGTCCTGAAAGTTGCATTCACGGAGATCTTCTGTCCCCTCCTTTTTTAAAATCCATCACAATCATCCCCATCCCTAAACAACCGATGGTGTGGCTATCCTCAACAACTGGGGCCCCATAGCCCTCACCCATATAGCCACCAAGTGTTTTGAGAGGCAATTTGCATATCGCCCCAACAGAGCCACAGAGGACGCCATCACCCGTGTCCTCCACACTTCCCTCTCCAACGTTGAGGAGAGGGACACCTATATGAGGATGCTGTTTGTGCACTACAGCTCAGCATTTAACACAAAAGTGCCCTCCTTCAGTAAGCTCCAGGATCGTAGCCTGAACACAACACTGTGTAACTGGATCCTTGACTTCCTGATGGACCGCCTCAAGGTGGGGAGCTGCACTTCTTCAACACTGACCCTTAGCTCAGGAGTACCCTCAGGGCTGTGTCCTCAGCCCCCTACTGTACCTCTCAAAACCCACGACTGTTTGGCAACACAAACTTCAAAACACCATCGAGAAGTTTGCTGATGACACAACGTTGTTTGGTTGTTCTCCTGCGGCAACAAGAACGGGCTTCCTAAAGGGATCCCAGACCAAGGAGGATAGTGTGGACTTTAGGATAAGGGGGTGACCTAACCCTTTTTCACCCATCTGCTTAACCACCTTACATGGCAGTTGCATTGGCTGTAAGGTTCTGGATTGGGTGGTGCACACTGCCCAACACATCACTGGGTGCGAGCTGCCCCAGCCTGCAGGAGCTATACAACTCGACGGTGCCTCAGGAAGTCCCTGAGGGCCACCAAGGACTCAACACCCACACAACTGCCTGTTTCCACTGCTGCCCTCAGGTTGGAGGAAGAAAACCCCACCAGCAGACTGAGGAACAGCTTCTTCCACTGGTTAATAAGACTCTAAAATAACACTTAAAGTGCAGTATGACCCCTGACTATTCTATAATGTATAATTGACGATTTATTTTATTCTTATTGTGATTCTTTGTTCTGTTGTTATATTCTTTATTCTATTATATGTCTTTATATTTAATACCTACCCCCTGTCAAAGGAGCCTCCAAGTCCTAGCATAAGAATTTCACATGATTGTTCTTGTATAACCGGAGTGACTATAAACATCTTGAATTGTGAAAATAGGATTAACTTGTACAAGGTCTCTTTTTGGAGTGATATTGAATTGTTGAGGAGTTCAGTCAAGGTTCTAGGAAAGTTGTGCAAGCCCTTACAGACGTCAATGAATCTGAGCCAATGTTGAACTTACAAACATTTCACAAAGAGAGATGGGCAGAATATTTTCTGCCTGATTAGTGAATTTGGCGTGCGCCATAACCAGACAACTTGGGAGTCAATAAAGCCAATTTCAGACATCACACTTTGGCTACACGGGACACAGATTGATGCATGTCATTCAGATTAACAAGGGAGACATCAGCAAAAGCTTTAATGGTGCTTGAAGAACAAAAAACAAAAACAAAAAAATCAGAACAGAATCATGTGCCAAATGACAGAGCTTTTACTGCACCACATTACATTCTGTTATTTCTAACATCTTAAGCAGCCATTAATCCTGACTTCTGTTTATATGAAAATGCTTAATGAAACTCACAAGAATTATAGTTAATTTCCTGCAGTTTGCTTGCATAATGTATTTGTTTTTCTTACTTTATTTAACCAATCTACATGTACAAAAGTATCAATACAAAAAACTATGACTTTAGATTTGAGATATTACACTAAAAATGACTCCTGTGAACAACACAACTTCCTTGTGAACACAATTAACACTGTAATTAATACAGTTACAAATAAAAAAACTACTATTATCTGTCCTATGTGAATTTCCTGTGCTTTTGTATGAAACAAACAAGGCACTGCAGGGTTTTTTAGATACTCTGTCATCCCTACATATCCGTCACTTGTGAAGCACACGGTGTCGTTAATATCAGGTAGGTTAATCTTTAACTCGTGAAGCCGTGATAGCCATTTGCTATCACAGCAGTTAAAATTATTATTACTTATATACATGCGTTTCAGGCTTAGAGATAAAGCAATAATCAAAGAATGGTTTAAAGACTTGAAATTATTATTTCTTATGTCAAGCTCTCTTAGAGGAGAGTAGCTCAAACTGTTGGGAATCAAATCGAGGTGGTTGTTAGAAATTTTCAAATGAGTTAACGCTGGCATGAAAGGTATAAATAGATCAGAGCTGGTAATGTTTGTGTCACTTATAATCAAAGACTCAAGAGTTTTTTGCACATCTTCCAATGCACCAGCTTGCATCACCATGTGGGGATTTCTTGCAAGGTTCAGAGAAATTAAAGAGGTTTCTTTAAATGTGTTTTGTCGAAGAACTGTTACATTGTTCTCCCTAAGATTCAGGTGTTTAAGGGTCCTTAATTGCCCAAAGTGAACACAGGAAGTGTTGAGATGTATTTGCTGTATTGTTTGAGAGATTTCCAAATCCTCTAAAGTGGAACAAGGTTGCACAGAGTTGTCTTGCAGATTTAACGTCTCTATTTGTGTGAGCGCTTTGAGAAAAAACGGGGAGACAGATACAAGTCCGTTGCTCTGCAGGTCAAGATACTTTAAGGAGGGGAAGACAAGTTGTCGATGGTATCCTGATTCACTGTGATTTCTAATATTCCAGACAATTGTTTGCAGACAGTTGTTGCTGAAATTTAAAGTTTGTAAAGATGACAAAAGGCTTAAAGTCTCGAGTGGGAAAGACCTGAAGTGGTTGTAGCTCAGGTCAATATAAATTAGGGGCATCAGCCTCCAGTTTGAGTGTAGGTTGTTCTTTGTGACTGTTCTCTCTCTCATAATCTCTCTATAAAGAGCATTGACCTCAGACACCATCGTTGCCTCTGAATTTAAGGCACCTACCATGTTATTCTGTAGGTAAAGATACTTTAAACTGTTCATTTTTGGAACAATTGGGAAATATATAAGTTTGTTGTGACTCAGATCAAGAATTTCCAGCCTGTACAAATGGTTGTCCTCAAGTGTAACAAAGAACTCAACAGAATTTCTACTCAGATTCAAATATTTCAGCTGATGAAGTTTAAAATCACAGATATTCGCTAGGTTATTTCTGGCCAGGTTTAGCATCTCCAATTGGTACAGTGGTTCAAAAGTCCCCTTTTCTATCACTGATATCTGATTGTCATCAATAGTAATGGACCTCAAACCTTTACTCTCCTTGAACAAGTTGTGTGAAAGTCTTGTTAAAGCATTTCCCGTCAGCTTAAGTTGATCAAGAGAAGGTTTGTTTCGAAGGTACAGCTTCACTGCATCATCACTCAACCCGTTCATTGAAATGTCCAAACTCCTCAGTCTGCTGATGGATCGGAAGGCTTTAGTGTTACTGCCAAAGTTGTTGTTCAGCGCATTTCTGGACAAATTCAACTCTTCAAGTCGAGCCAGGTTTTCAAAAGCCCCTTCGAAGATGAGATCCAGCTGGTTGGAGCTCAGGTCCAGCTGTTCCAAGTATGGCAGAGCAAGTGTGTGCAACTGTCTGATGAAGTTATTGGACAGGTCTAGTCTTCTCAGCCTTACATCCAAATCCACAGGGACAGAAAAGAGACTCTGGTTGTTCCAGGACCCCTCCTTGAAATGAAAGGAACATTAATCATAATCATAATCATAGAGTGAACCATGGAAACCAAAGTCAAACAACCTTAACAGTTTTAAGATCTCAAACAAAGAAATGTGTGACTCGAAGGACTTCAAATTGCAATGGTATTACAGTTTTCAATTAGCAGTTAAATGATTCATTCTGAGCGTACCTTTGGCTTGTGATATGTCAGTCCAGTTATACTGAGGTCAAGAGCGAGTGACCAGAGTAGTACAAGATGAGAAAACATATGTCTGACCATCCTGTCTGTGCTGCTGCTCCTGCTGCTGTACCACAACTGCCGTCAGTGCTCATACACACACTCACACACCCTCTTATACCCATGCTTTAAAAAAACAGATAGGGAAAACAGCTGCAGACACCAGATAGGCATTGAGGATGCTATGTTTAGAAAATAAAGGCTTGGTCAATGATATATAACTTTCTATGGAGAAATCTTCAAATTGGCCCTTTATTTTTTAAAATGGTTAAACAAAAACATAGATGGTAATATATCTGTTTATTAGATGTAGCTTACAGTTACAATTCTGACAAATATGAATAACAAAGCCATACAAATAATTCCTACTAAAGCATATTATCCAATTGATAGCAATTTCATTAGAATTTGTTTAAGAAGCTATTTACAGTGTTTAGGAGTTCATGACAACCAGGATACACCCCAAGCGGTATAAATTTATACTTTTGTTTGTTCCTGACATATTCTTAGGAAAACGGAAACCGTACTAAAATAGATCAGAGGAACAAATAAGCAGACAGCGCGGAGGTGGAGCTGCAGGGAAGCCCCCAGCAAGGTATAAAGAGACATATTAAAATAGACTGATGAAAGGTGGTGGTAGCACACATAAACAAAGCTATGGGAACCGGCCAAGGTGGAGGAAAATACAATTTTAAGTTGAAGCTACTATATAAAATTGCTATTGTGCTATAAGAAGGACAATTTCCAGCATAATTTAAAGCTGTCACTCTGTTCTTTATCAACTTCCCCTCACACAGCTCAGTGTCAGTCTCCTACATCCTGCTACAGCAAGTTGCAAGGTTGTAATCTTTAATTTGCAAGATGACAACCAAGCAATGAATTTAGCTGTTTTACACCAGTATATTTTAAGTCTGCATCCAAAAAGATGAGGGCAACAGGCCTGTATGGTAGGCTATCAACAATTCAAGCTCATTGTCTTGCTGCAGCTGCAAGGTGTCTGTGATAGAGAATCTGCAACATGCATAACATCTCTCATAACAGACTTCAACACTAGGCATAGACTGAAGGCCAAGTTATACTTATCAACACCATTCTTAAAAATATATTTTGTCATGTGGTGTTTGAGAAAACAGCAGCAAGATGGCTTCCATATTTTGAGAAATACTAGCCTATAGGCTAACGTTTTCTTGCTAGTTATATAGAGGGACTGATACAGCTTTCACGTCTGTACATGGCTAAATATCATGCTCGAATCAGATGGTTAGCTTAGCTTAGCACAAAGAGTGAAAACAGAGGGAGACAGCTAGCCAGCTTGCCCAATAGTGACAAATTTCCCATTACCAGCCCTGTTTTTAAGGTTTACAGCATGAGGTTAGTGTTAGCAGCCTTTCTGCTTAGCTTAGCAAAAAGAGTTGAAACAGGGAACAATGAGTTAGCCAGGATCAGTCAAATGATGGCAAAACCCTCCTGCCAGCAATCGATTTATGAAGTTATCTAAACACAAAATAGTTTCCTAACACCTTACTCATCACTTGTTGAACATGTAGCATAAAGGAATTCAAATGTATAACTAATGTGTTGGGGTTTGAGATACAGTGGAGCACAATAACTTCTTGGCCAGAAGAATAGTAGTAGTCATTTAAAAGTAAAAGAGATAGTCTGCCAACAAGAAAGTCTACTATAGGTTTTTATTATACAGTCCAGATAGGCTAATTTTGTTTAAGCTTTGAGCTTAGTCATGTTGTTGTTGTGCTAACTGAAGCTAACAATCTTTTAGCTGTAAATTCTTGCTAAAGATAGATAGATAGATAGATACAGATAGATAGATAGATAGATAGATAGAAAAGGTGCGGATATAGTAGCCTATAAAATACATTCTGTCATTAAACATCACAACCTTTTCAAAATGTTGTTTTCAACTTCTCATCTTATTTTTGTTTAGAAAGTTACAATGCATGTTTCCGAAAATGTATAGCTACTTTTCTGAGCGGCCACACAGTAAGTGCCTCTCTGATCTGCAGTGTAGCATGTATTGGCAGGAGTATGATCTGGCATTTCTTGCAGGCAACGCAATAGCTCTGTTGATGTTATTCCTGTTTGAATTGAACTCAAACTTTGAATAATGTGACCCATAACAGTACTTTGGCTTGTTAACAAAACTTACGAATTTAGCAGAACATTAGCAGAATGGTTGGAACAAATCAGATGTAAATCAACTTAGTTATGCTTGAATTAAAGTGACACAATACTTGTCCAAACACCAAGTAATAACCATCTTCTTGGACAACAATTCTGTTTTCCTTCTGTGAAATTGCATTTCCTTGCTGCGCAGAAACGGTCCAAGGGATCTCTAATTTATTTCCTGTGAGAGAAGGCTAGATACACTTATTCAAAATAATGGCACACGGTGGGTTGCTTTAGCCAAAGACTTGAATGCAGTTTTACCTCTAATGTCTTGTTGTTTGTTAGTGTTAGCTGTTAAATACAGGAATGATGTTGAATCTGACAAAAGGGAGAATAAACATAATACTTAAATTTTATTAACTTAGGATACACTGTTTATGTGCTCACTAACAGATTAGACCATAACTAATGGACACATTTTCAAACCACCTCTGCAGCTGCTCTGTTCCCGTATTCCTCTCCTAGAAGAGACCTTCAGAGACTCTGAGCTCTTTGCAAAGCACTTGGCTTTAAGTCCTTAGAGAAAACAAAGCATTAGGAGAAAATGTATTATTGCAGCGTTATCTGAATGCTCACTAATGGCATAAATCTCAGTAGTACAATGTCCAAGATGACTCCATCCTGCATAATCAGTGACATACCTCCTTTGTTTGAGACATCTTGGCCATTTTCCCAATAACTCCCTCAGAACGTGGCTGATTTAATTGTAGAATTATGTCCCATTGGAGTTTGCAAAAACCTTTTTCTTTTTTTTTAACTCCGGCTCAGGAAAAGACTAAGACAAAACATAAATGTTATGAGTGATAATAAAGCATAGTAAAGCATTGTGAGACTAGAAAGCAGACTGGATGTCCTCAAGTTACTGAAATTAATGAGGTCACACATCAGTTAACCTCAGAAACCTGAAATTTTCCGTTTCTAAATGAGGAACTATCTTGCCTCTGCCTCTCAAGATGGAACTCATTTAGACTGTATGAAAAGTACAGACGAAATTTATTGTATTGTGAAACTTGCAGTCAAAGTAAAAGCCACATTTTAATAAAGACAAAAGGCCTCACTCAAAGAACATCATTCGTTCTTGTCTGTACTGGTGCCAGCAGACTCAAATGTGAAAGAAGTTTAACCTTTTAAATCAATACCACTCGCTGCTCATACACAAAAGACAGACAAATGCCTTTAGACAGAAAATGAAACATTTTAATCCATCAATCAACTCCATTTACAAAAGTATATCCCATTTTATATACAATATGTACAGAGACGTATAAACAACTATCATTTTTCCACATGGATTCACTCATGCTGTAGCTAAACAATAGCACTGTAACAAAACATATCGCTGATATTCTGCAGGGATGCTGTAGTGCAAATGTGTGCAAAATATATAGTGCTGTTGCCCTGTGAATACCTTATAACTCCAGTTTTAATGGGTTTTACTCGGCTCTGCATGGATACCTTTCTACTTGCTTTGAACATTCAAATGCTCTTTTAATCATTTTTATTACCCAGGGGCATATGGAGCTTTATACCCCTTGTTAAACCACTTATGTATAACTGTTAATATAATTAAATTAGTTAAAAGGCCAAGTATACAAATTGCAAATAAAAACAAAATAGCTTGTTTTTTTGGAGATACAAGATTATCATTCAACAGCACTTAAAATATGTAAATATTTAGTATATGTCAGCGCAGTGTCCTTCCTTGTTATAGAGATGCCGTCTGTGTTGACACAAAATGGTGACTATAAATAGACTCTTTTGTTTGATGAGGACGTTTGAGGGGAAGCAAAACAGTTTATATCGTCCTTTTTTAATACAGAATTGTGAAAGTGGACAAAAGTTGGCCAGGAGCTCCTCAAGTTTTACGTTTTCCTTAACAGGGGAAAGACTTTGGCTGGACAGTTGCTTCTGATTTAACCTCAGTGAGCAACTTTTTCTTTTTTGAGTGCTGCTGTGGTGTGTAGTTATCAGTTCTGTCCAGCAGATGGAGCCTCTCCAAGCCTGACACTTCCCAGGAAAGTGGTATGGTTGGTCATACTGATGAGTGTGTCCTCATACACTATGCGTATGGAGATCCTCTGGCCGGCGCGCAGCAGGCTCACACCAGCCGTATAGCAGGTGTTGAACTTGCGCTGTCCCGTCTCGATGCTGCAGGTGCAGCGCAGGAACGGGTTGGAGTCCACCATCACCTCATAGCTGGCAATGTCGGTGAAGTTGAGGTAGTACACCTGGTGAAGGGGGGAGACATAAAAAATCACAAGAGACTGAGAGGGGTAGTCAAAACAAGTCCACATGATATTTAGGAGCCTATTTGAAGCCGAAACAGCTGGAATACCAGAGTAGCCAACAAGGGTTTGAGTTATAGACGTTCAACTTTTACTACAGGCAGACAGAAAAGATATGTCTTAAAATATAACTCAAACCTTTATGGGTAAGAAAAGCAAGCAAGGTTTAAATCTCAACTATAAACTGCCAGTTCTTTTGACTCTGAACTGTAAATTATAAGAGTTACGTCAAGGACCGTACTCACTTCTACCTGACTATATATGAAGTAGACCCCGTCCAGCAGCACCTCTAGCTCTCCAGAGCGAGAGTGCATTTTAAACACGCGGTGATGGATGGACACCATCTTCCAGTTCCTAAGGATGCCTTCAGAAAGATCTAAACATGTCACAACAAACAAACAAGAGGCAAACAGTCATCATAAACAGCTATCAGCGGTGTTTAACTGCAACCAGAGCTCTGTGCTGGCAGAAAGAAAAAGAGCACAGTAAGTGGCTTTTTTTCTTGAATGACAAAGTAATGTGAAATAACCAGAGTGTGTTAGAATAGGTGGCTTCTGCTTCCGACCCGAGTTAATATAGATCTGACTTAAACAGTAATATAAGCCTGTAACTGTATACTAATCCTATAATAGCTCTAGGATTATTTGAGGGTTACT